GATTATATTCTAGGTCTAAAAATCTTATGGATGTGCAAGACTTTCTTAAAATAACATCTAGATTACTTGTCCATATCCATAAAGCCAAACACAGATTTGCAAGGAGGTCAGTGCTACATTTCTATTGCAGCTCAAGATAAAAATTAGAACATCTAAAGATTATTCTTCCCATAGGGACCTTCATACAGCTAGAAAGGAAGAAAATCAAATTCAAATGCTTCTTTAAATGAGTCAGTAGCTGGAAATATTGTGTGCAACAGACTATGTAGCAGTGCAAGCTACTATGTCTAGATCTAAAACAGCAGTTGTATAAATACTGCTATTTTTGCACTGAAGTATTTATTAACCTGTGGTTTAATCTTCCAAACACTAACAAAGCCAATGTGAGTATCATGCTCAGACACATAGTGCCATACACATCAGCCATCAGCAAGGGGGTACTGCTGTTGAGTAAGAAATGACACAGAGTCATTGCACCACCAAAAGAACGCAAGATTTCAAAGTACAGCTTCATTCGGTGCTCACTAACAGTTCGATGCCTCATCCATGAGCTGTCCCGGCAGTGCCCCCGGGCACGGGGGCCAGGGGATGAACCTGAGCCAGCGCTGCTCCCTTTGCATGGCACAGCAGCTGCTCCGGGCGGGCAGCGCTCCCCTGCAGGACTCACAAAGCCATCTCTGCACTCCTCTGCCCTCTCTGGGGTCTCCCCATACAAGACACCCATGTTGTCGCTGTTGAGGCAGGACAGGAATGAAGAGGCTCTGACCCAGAAGGCTGTGAGAGTAAAACTCTGATTTATTCAAAATCCACTGCTCTTTTATACAGAGCTTTGTGAGGATCAAATCCATTGGTTCTGAAGTGAAAACAACCCAGCACCATTGGTGCAGAGTGCTTGACACACAGTGATAGAACTTAACTATAAACAATGTGAAAAACAAGAGAGATACAGAATTATTTACATTCTTTCCCAGCTCTTTCCCAGGCCTCTGCCTGGCTAGAAACTCTCAGTTTCTTCCTTTGACTGAATCTGGGTCCCACACCCATGTGCCCAAGGAAGTCCGAAGCACCCCAAGTGCAAGGCTGAAGGAACCTTTTGCCCAGGAAGGCGACAGGTGAGGAGTTCTGTAACTGCAGCCTACAACGGCACTGAGACAGAGTTGGACTCCGATTCACAGCAAAAGAACAAAAGCCTCTGGTATCAAGGGAAACTCTAATGAGACAAAGGAAAATATTTGCATGGTGAAAGAGGTTAATTACCAAAACAGATTGCCCAGAGAGGCTGTGGTATCTACTTCCAGAGACATATTTAAAATTTGTCTGGATGATCTGATTTCAATATTAGCTCGTCAGAGAGCAAGGGCAGGGTTAGACAACCTCCAGCAATCCTGTCTAACCTCCAGGGCTCTTGTAGAATCATTATGCAATAACATAGAGCACTTACCTTTTGGAAAAACAGTTATTTTATATAACATTTCCAGATCTGTTTCAAGAAGTATCACTTTGTGATAGCCCTTCTGGAAAGTTACCCTCACCCTTAACACTTCTTGACTATGTTATAACTGTGAGTGCTTCCACAACAATAAAATGCCTCAAATTATGTCTTTCAGAAAGACTTCTGGAAAGATTTAGGTTTGCAATCAGCAAAAGCAATATGGTTCAAAGACATAAATATTGCTGGACAATACATAGGGATAATTTTCCCAGATGTGAAGAAGTCTTTTAGTATTGACACAGAACTCACCATAATGTTCTGTTTTTAAAAAAGAGTATCACAAATACTACCATTATAATCATAGCATGTGATGAAACAAAAGTAACTATGTTTTAAACCAAATGCTCAAGTCAGAAAACAGTTCCTAAGCAATGTTTGTGCTGAGATGTCTCAAATGTCAAGAGATAAAAGATGAATAAACAGCCAGTCTGTTTTCAGCATCCTCCAAGGGATGCTGATGCACAGCAGGCTGGCACAGATGCCCCAGACAATTCTCATCTTGTTTCAGTAGACTACCCCACATCTGAACATGTTTGAAATGTGTGGCAGAATTGGGGACCAAAGCCAAGGAGCAGTTCATTGGCAGGAGAGCTCCTGCCAAGACAAGGTGATAAAATCAGCTGGAGCAGAGCATGTGGCACTGTCCAAAAGGTATCTCTGCAGCACAGTCAGGCTCAGGTAAGTGCCATAAACCCCCAGGTGTCCCATTGGCTTGTTGGTAGGGTTTGGGCAGCTGATGTCAGGTGAAAATAGATCAGCGAGGTTCAGAAAACGTTCCGGTTTGGTTGGCTTCACATGCCTGTCTATTTTCCATGTCTGAATCATGCAAAATCTCTCCTCAGATGGTGCAGGCAAACTCTGAGCAAACTGAAGCAGAGCTGGGCTGGCAAAGGAGGCAGTCTAGACAACACACCACTCATCCCAGATGTTCAGACAGGGATGCAGTGCTTCAAAGTCTGTATGTCCTGCATTACTCACAGCTAACTCCAAATGTAGCCACACCTCATTCTTACAAATATAAAACAACTTTTTTTTTACAGATATGGCTCTTCAGTCAAGATTCACATTGACATAATATTTATTAACCACAGAGAATATGGTAGCTTATCTCCTCTGAGTCATTCAGTGAAGTCTTCAGCAATATAGAGCATTATAAATGAGTTCCTGTGCCCTCAGTTTAGTCGAGTTCAGCATCATATAACAACCACCTGGTGCAGAACTCATACGATAGGACATAAATGAAATGGCCTTATTGGAGTGCCAGAGCACTGCATCCACAGGCAGCAGTGGGACCAGGCACCTATTGCATACCAGGCATCTCAATGAATGAGACAAAGCAGGAGACTTAGAATAATCTTCACAAGTCAGCCACCACCTATGTGTGCCAGCTAAAATCCTGACAGTGGCTTGAAATGTTTCATATTTCCAATCCTTCTCCCTCAGATTTCATCTCCCCGCCTTCATGACAGCACTGTGAATTTCAACTTCATCTCCGAGGAATTCATTCCTAAATGAATGGTTAATTGAGGGACACCTGCAAGTCTCATTACTGAGATGTTCCAAACCCCATTGCAAGACACTGCACATTGCAAAGGTCAGGCTGGAAATTAAGGCAATATTTGTTATATGAACAAACAATTCCTTTAGCCAACTCAAGCTACTGAAGACTGCTTTGCTAGATTGTTTTAACACACAAAAGACAATTTTGATTTCCCAAATGGAAGTCTTAGATGCTAAATTTCAGCAGGAAAGTTTGCTAATAAAACTTTGGTAATCCCTAAAATAAAAGACAGTGATACAATAACGATGATATTAGCATACAGAGAAAATAGTAGTAATTTACTGAGACAAAAAAATAGACTGTTTCGTTTTCTAGAGGCTGCTATATAAAAGTCAAAAATAAAAAGTCAAAATAGATCTGTATCAGTAACATCCCACATCTGCTACCGAGAGTGAAGATGATTCTGTAAGAATTTCTTCCAGTGTTTCATCACTTAGCCCTGGCTGAGATCAAGTGTTCTTACACTGGCAGACACAGTTAAGTGAAATATGTATCAAATAGAAGCAATAAATACATATAAACCCAGTTTTAAAAGACAAGTAAATCTGCACTGTAATTTAAAAGGACATGAAATAACTGCTTCTGTAATTTGGTCACTGTAATTTGGCATGTAAGATAGCAGCATTGACTGTAATAATCTTTCTGTATAAATCAACATGTCAAAGCCATTGTTATAGGATCTCTGCTATAATTCAGCACTTAGTGTCCTCCCTTGTATGACAAGTTCTAAAGGAAGATCATTCAAAATACCAAGAGAAAGAGACCTCTTATCCCAATGGGAAAAAAATCTTTTCCAGAGGTAAGAAGTTTCCACAGTTCAAAGCTGATTCCTCAATCATAACTAACCCTGCTTCTTTTCCCCTCCTTACTTCACAAAATAATATATCTGGACCACTTCCTTTTCAGATGTGTTCAGAGAACCCTTTACTATTCAAAAGTCACTCGTAAGAAAAAATAATAGTCAATGAATAAGGAACCTTAAAGTACAGCAATACCAGGAAATAAGTCACAATTAACATTAAAAATCCTCAAGTGCTGGCAAACCAGTGACCTCCCACACCTGCGCTCCCTTTGAGCTCTCCTCTCTCACACCACAGTGGGAGCTCCTCTGACTCTCAGGCGAGGCAGAGCCCCCAGCAGAGCTCAGCCCTGCACCGAGTGCCTGTGTCAGGAGCAGCAGGGACCACCTCACATCAGCTCTGCAGTGCCAGCAAGGAGTTCTTAAAAATCCTTACAACGTTAGGGAACTTGAGATGTGAGTCACTTTTGCTCTTCCAATCTCACAATGGATTACATAAAAATATGTTTCCTAACAAGACCATTTATCATTATCTCCAGATTTCAGACAGCCTTTACTGGATTTTCATTAACTACAGTAGCAAAGTAAAACTATCCAGTTAGCAAAAATTTAATTCAATAAAGTCTTGGAATGCAGTGGTTCAAGTGTGCATGGCTACTTCATTCAGATACTGTAGTGGATCACTAAATTCTGGCTTATTATTGTCCTATTATTACTGTTGCACCCAGATACATTCAGGTCGATTGCTTGCTGTTTCTTGTAAGTACCACAGAACATCTGCTTATAGTTTTACATCTTATCCTCAATATCAGTTTATGAAAATACTAGGAGGCTCTTTTTACATGTATTGATCATATTAGCTATTAAAGTTTTTTAACTGACCACCATTCCATGTGCTGGAGAGTAGTATTTCATTAGGGCTGCTTTTATAGTGTTAGAAAGTTGAGTTTCAGGCATGAGCTCCAAAATATTTCTGAATATTTGATGAGCCATCAACAAAGATACCATTATGCATACTTTTTCTTTTTTCAAGTACAGAGAGGCAATTAAGAGCAACTTTTTTGAACTGCTTGTAGAAATTATTCACAATAGAAACCATTACAATGAAGAACATCAGAATAGCAAGAGCTCTTAATAAATTTTCCTACCTTATCTGCCATTATCATGGAGGCCCCGCCATGAATTCCAAGAATTGGAATAGAAGTCTGAGATGAAATAAAATCCAAAATCTGAGCTACTGCCTCCTGATCAGTGTCATCTCCAAAAACCACTCCATGGATCTTGGTGCCTGACATCAAGTCACAAACATGTGTTATGATGCTTTTAGGGTCAGTCTGGTTCACAAGAAGAGTCACTACATTGATATCAACAGTCAGGTCTGCTGCCATTTCCCTGGTCCAGAGAGCTCTGATATCTCTCTCTGTTATATACTTGGTCCTCCCCAGAATCACTGCAATGTTCAGGATGGGATAATTTTTCTCTGCTCCACGAACAAGATCCAAAGGTGCCAGAAGAGCTTGGAGTACCAGGAGAGCACAGCCAATTTTCCTCATCTTTGCCAGCTTTATCCCCTGTAAAAGCGATCACAATGTATAAGAAGAACATAGAGAAAAATATATATACCGCATATCTTCAAAGAAGGTTTTAAACAGAAAGCTTCTGGGCATAATGCAAACTTTAGCAGCTTTTTATAATGCATCCTTCACCTTAGTTCCAAGTCAAGCCTCTTATATCCTATCAAAAACTTGGCTTGATGACAGTATTACAGCTGGTCTTCCACAAGCAAGGCAAAAACTGTATCAGAAGTTCAGAGAAAAGAACCATTAACATTCTTCCTGGATAGCCAACAAAATTAAAATTACTGACATCATTAAAAAAAGAGACATTATCATCCTTCTCTTTAACCTTGCTGTGCTAAAGTAGGTAAAAGAAATCTTTTTCCATCCAGAATATTTTCCTTCATCCTGGACAGCTATTAAAACTTTAGTCACGGTCTATTGGAGAGAGGTATTTTAGCTCAAAATGAGAGAAGTGAGCCAGAGGTCTGCTGGAAACCCCAGTCCACGCACTCCATATATCTCACAGCATCCCAAACCCATGCTGTTTTATTTCTGAAGATCCCTCCTGGGCAGCCGCTGCTTAAGGAATCCTACTGCATTTCTGGAAGAGATTCAAAAGCACAATATTCTATCTTAATTCTCTTCTGTCCTCTCATGCAGCATTCAGAACTTGAGCATCTCAGAACTGCTGATCTCGGACACAAAGTTGTCCCTAGTGTTGAAGGGGAGGGTGTTCCATAAATGAGCATCACTGCATTGGTTACCTCATGTCTTCACTGAATCTCTGTAGGGGGCTGAATATAGACGGAGTAGGATGGGGAGAGAGATGAGCCACAGAACGGATCTGAACTTATGTGAAGGAGGGAGAAGGAGAGCAGGTCTGACTCTGCAAGATCTCCCCCTGTCTCTGTGCCCCGGGGGATTATTTCCACCCCCATAACTGGCTCTCTGCTAGCTGCAAGAAGGGAGTCCCTTTGCCACATAAAGCCAAGCTTGTTGCAGAGCGTCACGCAGAGCACACAAGCGGGGCTGTCCAATCAGGGGTGGCATTTTTCAGATCTCCCCTCTCATCCATCCTCAGTCACAGCCGTCTGCTGCTGAAACACACAGCCAGGCACGGGCTTGCAGCATCACCGCCTCCTTTCGGGGCACACAAGGAGACGGGAGCTCGACAGAGCATTAACTGCACATCGGTGTCACTGCGGGCTCCCGCCGGCCGCCGCCACACCAGCGGGGGCACGGGGCGAGGTGGAACAGCAAAGCGAACTGCCCGGCTTCCCCCCGAGCCCGAGAAAGGCTCAGGGACCCCGAGCCCCCCGCTCCGAGCCCCAGCTCCGATGCCCCCAACTCCGAGCCCCCCGCTCCGAGCCCCGCGGGCACGGCTCGCTGCTGCGCGGGAGCGCGCCCCGGGAGCGCGCCCCTTGGGCCGGCCGCGGCGCGAGCGCGCCCCCCTGCGGGCGCGGGCCGCACGTACCCAGCGCCTCAGGAGACGGAGCGGCGGCGGCTGCCGGAGGTGCCGGTGCTGCCGGAGGTGCCGGTGCTGCCGGAGGTGCCGGTGCTGCCGGAGGTGCCGGAGGTGCCGGTGCTGCCGGAGGTGCCGGTGCTGCCGGAGGTGCCGGTGCTGCTGCCGGTGTCGCTGCAGGACATGTCGCGACCGCGGGCATGTCGCGCCCCTCGCTGCCCGGGCTCAGGGGCGGCCTCCGCGCCGCTGGCCGCACGCGTGATCCCCGCCGCAGCCTGCGAGCGACATCGCATCCCGGGAGAGCAGCTACGTGGACAGGGAGACAGGCGAGGTGGGGCTGGACACGGGGGGGACGGGACGGGACAGCGTGGGGAGAAGAGGAACGAGGAGAAGCCGTTAGTCAGATTTTCAGATTTGACAGGAGAAAAAGAAATATACTTCAATCGCAGGTGGTATGTGAACGGAAATAAAGTAGCTACACTCAAAAGTTGCCCCCCTCCCCTTCACTTAGATTTCAGCTCTTTGCTAAAAGCAGCTCCGTGAGCCCACAGCCGTCCGGGATACGTCCCTCATTTTATCCAGGTCAGGAAAATCCTGAGCTCCCAACTGCCCGTTTGCTTCCAAGTGAGATGGACGGGTTTGAGCGCTAAGGGAGGAGACATCAACCTGGAAAGCGCAGCTAGGAGCAAACTAATTAATATGAGCAAGGGCAGGAGTTTTCTTGGCAGGTTCGAAACAAGCATAGCCTGGAGCACAGCTGAAAGCGGTGTGGGATAAAGCTCTTTTCGCTCCTGAAACAGAACACCTTCATTCCCAATTGACCCTAAACAAACCCGGGGAGACCCTATAGCAGAGCCCGCCACGGAAAGCTCGATGGCTCTGGTTTTCTCATTCACAATTCCCAGTAAATATGCATGAAGGCAGTTCTCCAAGCAACCCCAGCTCTATGTAGGACGCTGACGCGCCAGGCAGAGCAGCCGGCGTTCCTCAGCCGGCCCCGGGTGCCGGCGGGGCACCGGGAGCGCAGCCCCGGTCACCGGGAGCCGGCCCCGCCGGGAGCCCGGGGCCGCGCGCCCCTGCCCCGAGCTGGGCGCGATCCGGGCTCCCCACCCGGCGGTACTTACTGCATTCTCCCTCCACATAGTTCCTGTTTAAAGATCCTCAAAGTCATTTCAGTAGATTCCTTTGCAAACAATGAAGTGGAAAATAGGTCCCTTAACGCCTGGATTTCATCCTGCAACTTGTTCCCACCGCAGTGAATAGCAGCCCGGCAGCTCTTTATCGCTTGAAATCCCGCATGATCAAGTTTTAGCAGAGCCATTGCAACTGAGATTCGCTCTTTACTTTTGGCAGGAGGCATTTAAGCGTCTTCATATTTTTTTTCCCTTTTTTTTTTTTTTTTTTTTTTTTTTTTTTTTTTTTTTTTTTTTTTTTTTTTTTTTTTCCCTCTCGTCTCTTATTCTAAATTGCGATATTGCCGCAGCAGTTCCCCAGGACGGCAGGCACGGGGCCCCCGCGCTGCTCTCGGCTCCTCGGAAGCGGCGGGGACTGGCGGCGCGGGCTCCGGGAGGTGCGGCGGGCTCCACCCGGGGCCGCCTGCGCGGCGCTGCGGGCTGAGCCCGGCCCGCTCCGCTCCGCCGCCCCCGGCACCGCCGCCCTGCAGGGGCGCAGCTCACGGCCGCCCTGTCAAACCCAGAGCAGCCGCCGATACTTTGAAGGCTTCTCCCCCAGCCCACCCCCCCGCCCCGCTCTGCTTGCACAAGCACCGGAGAATGAGTCAGACGCAGGCGATCGGGGGAGGGGGTGTCAGATCTGGGGGAACGGCGAGAACACCGGCTTTGGGGCACAGGAGCGGCAAACTCCAGCGCTCTCCCCGCAGTAACATCCCCAGCGAAAGGTTGGTAGCCCAGGAAACCCCGGTGTTCTCCTTTCCCTTGATGCAGGGACTGTCAAGCAGAAATCCCTGCCGAGGGGCTCAGGGGAATGAATGTGGAGCAGCAGCTTACACACTAAAAGCAGCCCTAAATGCTCCAGACAGCAGCCAAATATCACAAAAAAGCTCTGTAGAAGTTGGCTCCATCTGCGCATCCCTGCTGCTGCGTCCTCCTTCCCACATCCCCCATTTCAAAGCCTAGAGCCTGTTTCTCCATCTCCCATTCCGTCTCACAGCCCTGGTATCAGACCACCTGGCCTTAGAGCAATTCTTGCCTCCCTGCCCACACCACAGCCCACCTAAACCTCCCTCCAGCACACGCTACTGTGCCTTCTCCCTCACTCCACTGCTCTCCTGCTTTTTCCTTTCCACCATCCTGCTCCAGCTGCCACAACTTATTTGGTTTAGCACAAATGAATGTGCCAGCTAAGTACCACAGAGGGATGGCCTCTCCCGTGCTCCATCCTTTACAGCTGTGTTCATTCCCACTCTGAATACTTCAGAGTAAGGCAAAGTCACATGTTTTGACAGATCCCCCACTCCTATGCCAGAGGAAAGTTTTGGTTTCAAATAGGATAATGCCAAATGTTCACTCTCTGAAGTTTGCTTCTCACTACATTAAGACCCAGAACACCAAGAAATCTCTCAAAGACATTTAACAACACATCAGCTTGACTGCTCTTGACAGTCTCATCATTGAATTCCCTGATAGGTCTATGCCTGAGTTTTTTCCTCCTTTGAAAGATCTCACGTCCTAACTTATTTAGGGATTACTTCCTCAGACATTACATTAGTCTTTCTAAGCAAAGCAATTAAGCAGATTCAACTGCCTTTTTTTTTAATGTTTGATGTTTTAATGCACCTCTGCATTTCACCCTGGATGAACATTTTCCCCCTGTAAATATTATAGTGATGTTTGTCACGGTTACTGGAGATGAGGTTGCAGTTCTATCCTTGTGTAAGGGTTATTTCAGTGTGATCATTCAGGAGATTTACTGGAACAGCAGCAATAACAGATTCAAAATCATCAAATGCAAGTGACATTCACAATGGTGAAAAATTGCAGCTCTAACATTAGCCTATGTTTAAAATATAAAAAGCCCCGTGGTGTTTTTGGGAAATACTTAGTATACAATATACTTAGTGTACAATACACTGAGTCTAATGGTGTGAAAGAGCAATAAAAGAAATACCCATATTTTCTAACTTCTGAGCTATATGACTTTTATTAATCCAAATTTAGAAATAGTTTAGTGTTATTTCCAAATATTTTTCCTCAATTACTCTCATAGAATTTTGTGAAATATCACGACAAAACAGCCCAAATTTACAAATTAGAATTAGAAAATAGCATATTAAAATTTTGTGCAAACACAGTGGGATTTATCTTGGCAATACGTACACAGTCTTCCCAAAAGCTTCTCCAAATTCAAGCAGATTACTGCCTACAGAATTGAGCAAATGCTGCAAAATTAAGACTGCTGCTTTAATAGATATTCACACTCCATGTCTAGGTATATTTGCAGAGTTTTAAATTAAAGAGCTGCAAACATGATAAACTGTCAATTTCACTCAAAAGAAACAGGAAAGCAAAACCTGTATTTCAGTGCCTAACCCTTGTAAATTTTGTGTAAGGGAACACTCCCTTCAAAAGCACTGTAACAAACACTAACATCCCTGCACGTGGGGCATTGAGCACCTTCATGGACAATGCTAATTCTGGAAGGCAGGTGGATTTATCCCTAAATTATTGCCTTCTCCACATGGACAGCTCTGCACTTTTCTAAAAGCATCTGCAACACAAATTCAAGAAGTTTGGAATTATGCATTCTGAGCACATTTCCCACCTGAAGTTCCCTACCAGGCCTGCCTTCTACATAAGCACATATTTAAAGGTCAGGAACTTTCTTCATACTCTGTCCCTTCTAAAATAACATGCAATTACAAAAAGGTTTTCTCTTTCCGAACATGACCTGTTGCAGAGAGCACTTGCCAACAGATACAAGCAGCCAAATTACCAGGTACAAGCAATTTTTCTAAAGCAGGGTCTGATGGGCTGGCACAAGGCACATTTCTGTCTCTGTGGCTGACTCCTTAGCAAGTGACACTAACTCACTCTCTATTTGTTTTATTCTACCAGCTGAAAGATGCTTAACCTCAGAATGCTAGACAGCTAAATTATAAGTCAAATTAAACCTCCAGATTCCAGAAAACAACTCTATCATTTTCCTCTTGCTTTTAGGAAGTGCAGTTAAGTAAGCTAAGTACAACCATGCTCTTTAAAAACCCAAAACTCTTCTCATGAAATCACACCAAAATTAGTTTTAAAAATACTATATTAGAGGTCCCATTATTGCAACTCTACTATCAGTAGAGGTAGTACTCTTTGTGGTCTTCTTTGCAAGAGTTTAGGATAATTTGAGAGATCTCTTGAACACATGGCAAATTTCCTCAGTCCTTGCTATGTAAACACTCCATTGCAACAACTTCCTAAATTTAATTAAACAAATGGTAATGAGATATTACAGGCTAGGTTAAGGGAGAGAAGCTTACTTGGAATTCTTTCCAAATTTAAAAATGTTTTAATTCCAGCAATAAACTACTTTTACATTTAGTTACTATTGCTGTAACTACTAACAATTTATTTATATGCTTATCTTTCACAAGTATCTGAATTTCACCTACCCGGACAAATGTGTCCAACAAGCATCAAAAGCCACATTGATGCAAATTCACTTTTCAGTACCACACAGGATCAGGTCTGAAATGAAACCACTTGACTCAACAAGAACTTAATGCAGCACCAACAACACTACAGTAACATAAATTTACTCTTGGGAGGCTGCAAAGTTACTTACATGCTAAATGAAATTAAAGTAAAAATGGGAAAGAACTCAATTGTTTTCAAACTTGCTAAAACATTTTGTCACAGATGGCCCTCTTATTGAAAACTGGCTAGCTCCTCATTTGGCAGTGCTCTTTCTTGCACAATTTACCAAGTCATGCATGAAATGATGGCCTTGAGCTACTCTCAGTTGTGCAAAGGACATGAGCTAGCTGCTATGGAAAAAAAGAGGAGGTAACATCACTGAGTGGAGCTTGAGGCTGTTACAGCACTTCAGCTTCTCTGGAAACAACCCCAGCAAGGAGGGAACACCCCACGGACTGCTCAGCCAGAACTGGTGCTTTCCACCTCAGCTCTATCAGAGCTATTCAGGATTCACCAGGATTGTGTCTCTGCCTCTTTTGTAATCCATTTCCCATATCAAATTAATCTTCAGATGTATTTCCAAACTCCTCTATGCAGCTCCCAAGAGGAATTCTTTTTTATTCAAATCTAACTCTAAGGGTCAAAACAGAATTTCATAACAAACTCTGTGTTTTTAATTAAGGGAGCTCTGCTAACAAAGATCTGTGTCACAGCAATGCAGTCCTTTGAAGACAGTGTCAGTACCAATCCACACTGAACTGCCTGCACAAGGCCTGGGCTTCAGGGAACTGAATCAGGTAAATACTAGTTTAAGTCTGCTTCTCTTCTTCCCAAGCTGTACTCCCCCATCAGAAATTGGGAAATACTAGGATATTTTCTAATAAAATCTTCTAGGAACACCCAAGGAAACACCTGAGCACTGCATGGCCAGAACAGCTTATTCATTGGTGCCTACAGCAGTAAAGGAACAGTCAAAAATTGCCACTATTTATTTAGGGCCAAAATATGATCTCCTAACCCTCACTGAATTTAGTAACTAAAGTGGTAAGCCTTTACAAACCAGAATTTTTTAAAATACAATTTGAAGCCTCCTCTTTAGTCATCCTAAGCCATACAAATCTGCCTCGTGTATCTATTATGGACAGCATTATGAGCCTCCCAGACAAGCAGTTACTGCCTTGTTTTAGTCTATCTAAAGGATGCTCAGATTTTGGAAGTGTATAAGTACAGCAGCAGTTTTGCTCATGCCTCACTTGGAACATCCTATGTGCTCCCACAGCTGAAATGGTCTACATGTATCTACCTCTATAAACATTTTATATACCCAAGAAGACCCCTGTGTATAGCTGATGTATCTTTTCAGATTTTTACCAAAAATTGGTTTAAGTTAGAGATTACTATAATTTTGATCTTTGAAACAATACTCAAGTATTCAAGGGGCTGAACAGACTTGTTAAGTTTGAAAATAATTAGAAAAATACCCTATGACTTTAAGACAGGTGAGATACTTGTCTTTACCAACATTAGTACTACTTGTAAAACAAACTTTCATGGAATATTATGTTATTTTATATAAAATTGATTTTAACGTTAAAAAAATTACTACTTATGACTGATAAGAGCCAGCAGTGACCCCTCACACATTGTTCATTGGCAGAACTTGTTTGCTAAAAGAAAGTTGTACTGAGTGGGAAGCACCAAGATGCCTACACTGCATCTGCTT